TTGTATTTTTTTTTTTTTTTAAATTTCCAGAGAGTGCACGCACTTGCCAGAGAGAGTGAGCGAGCGTGTCCAATGGGGCTTAGTCACACCACAATCCTATCTTCCATTCCTCCATCCTGTCAGGATCTTAGACGTGTGCATGTGTGTGTGCAGTATCTTCTTCAAGTAGTCAGGGCCATGCCATGATCCAAATTGTGGTCGGCTGCGTGGGGTCTGGCCTCCTGAGCACACCCCTTACCACTGTACTGCAGGGCCAGCTGTACGCTGAAAACTTGCTCAAGTTTCCAACATGGCAGACTGCATCAAAAAGACAAAACCTTTACAACTGTACTGTATCCTGCCTTAGGGCACGTGTGTGGGGGAGGGAGGACACAACACAGAGGCAGTGAGAAGGAAAATGAGAAACCACCCCCCCAGGGGAATAGCCATGCCGCAATCCCTTCTCCATGCTCCTGAGATCTTGAGCATGTACGCACACATGACCAGTGTGGTTTTCAGGCTACTGGATCTGGGACTTGAATCGTGGTCAGCTATGTGGGAGTCCAGCAATGTACTGCTATGCCATCTGCTGGCCCCTGTACTATATTTCAAAAGTTTCAAATTGGTGGATTAATAAACACAATAATAGCAAAGATGGAGGGAATTCTAAGTAGTAGTCTGGGAAATGAATAAGAGCCACCTCTCCCTTTAAATTGAACCATTTAGGTATTTTAAGCAGTATGCACTTCACTTCACTTCCCATTCTCCTTGTTGGGTGTGGATTCCTGGTGAAAGAAAGCACAGTGGGCACTTGGTGGCCTTCTCTGGAGTTCAGCTGGGGTGGAACGCTGGCTCTTCCATGGAAGGGGCCACAGCCCTGACCTCTAGACTTCCCTCCCACAAGTGGCCACGTGATGAACTCTGCTTTATACTTCATCAGGAAGCATGGACAAGGCTGCCCTGGCCAGTCCCACAGAACCCAAAGGGGTTGTGCCCATAGAGGTGCCGACTATGAGAGGGGTGGACTGTCCTGCAGGGCCAGCAAGAGAAGCCGGGCAGCAGCCTGTCCACCTGCAGGGAAAATCCCTGTCGGCCTGTGTGAAATGGAGGCATGGGAGAGGACAGGCAGAAAGAGAGTGAGCTCACGGCAAGGGCAGGAGGCCCCTCCAAACACTGGTGCGTGCATGGGACCCGGTGCCCCCAGAGTGTTTCCTGGGGCCAGGTGGGGCGGAGCTGGGAACCACTTCCAAGGTGAGCGTCCTTCCATTACACAGGAACAGTCGAAGAGCAGCCACAAAGATGTCATGACAACCAGACCAGAATACATCCCCCACGATGGACAGTTCAGGGCCAACACAGCCCCCAGCCACCCTGGCACCTCCCTTATCTCCCAGGATGGCCCGCGCCGCAGATTCTCAGATGTCCCGAAAGCTCAGCACAGTGACCTGCTGAAAGGCTCCCGCAGGTTAGGCCCCGTCACCACCGCATTTGACGCACACACTCTGACAGTCCGGGATAAGCTGTTCTTCCACAGGACCCACATGTATGCCCCTGCTCCTCTTTGCGGCTTATGGCCTTGTCTAGGGCCACATCACAGAGCACCTGTCTCCCCAGCATAGATCACAACCCAAGACAGTGTCCTTTCCTCTATCCCAGCAGGAGCCAGACCCCATGTGGGCAGCCTGAGGCCAAACAGCACCAGCACCAGCACCTCAGAGGGCACTCAGAACACAGACCAGCCGGCTGGGCATCACCAAACTGGTTTCCCTCTCTTCCACTCTGCAGTGGAAGGAGAAAGAGCTTCACAAAATAACATACTTTTCTAGATGCTTCATGCTTAGGTGTCTCTTTAAAATCCAGATTAAAAACTCACAATAACCATATGAAGCCTATCAACAAATTATTTGAAATCTGTTTACAAATTTCATTATTTGCTACCCTAACGTCATCTTATTGCTGCTGTGGCTTCAGTGTTCAACACTTCCAGGAAAAGCAGCTGGAAAACAACTTACAGGGGACAACTCTCATCAGGGCACCCGGTTTCCCAGTCACTTTGGGGAAAGAGGAGACTGGTAATTTAACTCAGAAAAGTGGTAGTTCTTCCAAAGACAGTTAACTCTTGGTCCTCAGTTTCCAACTCGCTCCCAAGAGGCAGCAGCCAGGACCCTGAATCTGGAATGTCAACAGTCCATCCAACCTACAGCCAGCCAGACTGTTGTACACGGAGCCGCAGACCTCCACAACAGCCAACTGGATGGCACACGGGCAGCCTGGGGGGAACAGCAGGGGCCAAACGCACAAGTGGGGAGAACTGCAGCTCACACCGTTGCTGCCCTGGTCCTGTAGGGCTGCCATCTGTGCTGCTGACGCACAGACCACAGCCCCGAGCAGCACCCAGGCTGCATACCATGCAGGCACATGCAGGCATGAGCGAGCGGTGCACATGTGCTCGTGTGTGCACACATGAGCATGATCTGGAGCAACACCACAGGTCAGCCACCACCATGCCCCAAAGAGGTCCACAGTAGGACAACGCTCAGCACACATGTGAAACACAAAACCTTCAGGGACTGCATGGGAAGGTAATGCTCTGTATTTTCAAGAAGTCAAGTGAGGATCAAAATACTTCAGTAATATGCACTTTGAGATTCAAATCTGAGGGACAAAACTTTTCAATCCTGCCACCTGGCCCAGCCAGCCCGAGGCTTCCCAGGAGGCGGCCAGCAGCGGCTTGGTCTCCCAGGTCTTCACGGACCATGCCCCACCCCCACAGCAGGCTTCCAACGTGCTCCTGGAAGGACAGTGCTGCCATCCAGGAATTACACGATGGGAGCTCGGGAAACTGACTTTCGGTGAAGTAGGTGCTTTCCTACCACTCCAGAGGTCTTAAAGGAACATCTCTACAAAATCCTGGCTAAACACTGGTTATAAAGAAAAAAGAGGAGCTTCCAGGGCACAGGCTGGGCAGACCCCACGACAGGTGAGCAAATGACAGCAGAGGCCTGGGCTGATGGGACCGTAGGAGCGCATGGCAGGAGCTGTGCGGGCCGAGGGAGACCAGCCACGGCACTGCCCAGCAGGCGCATCCATGTCCTGTGCAGGACAGGACAGCGATGGCCGCCCCGTGCAGTGGGAGCAGATCCTGCTTACAAGAACCACACAGGGTGGTATGGAGGGGTGACAGGCCTCGGGTGGGCAACGGTCTCACAGGAGCAGGCAAAACATTCCCTACCTCCTTTCTAACTTTCTCTGTAAGAGAATTTTGGAATTTAATAATGTACATCAGAAGTTAGAATTCTGTTTATAAAGAAATCTAGTCTTTCCTAAAATAAGCATTTTAGGGCAAACTTTAAAGGCATTTACCAAGACAATCAAGGACAGAAACCAGAAAAAGACTAACGGCTCTATCTCATTTGCAAGCTGACTTTCTCCTAACCAAGCACGTACATCAAGTGCTGGTCACTCTGCTGGACAGGACTGCATCCTCCACAAAAGGTCTAAGTCCACCCTGTTGCCTGCAAATGTAGCTCTCCTTGGTAACGGGGTCTCTGTAGCTGTATCCATGCTGGGGGAGGACATGGGGCTGGAGTAGGCGGGCCCTACATCTTGGCATCCTTATAAAGAAGAGAGAGACACACAGAAGGGGAGGAGGCCATGAGAAGATGGAGGCAGAGACTGCAGTGATGTGGCCACAACCACAACTCCTGGAAGCCCCCAACAGGTGGAAAAGTCAGGAGGGGTCCTCCCAGGTGCCTCCAGAGGGAGCTCAGGGGAACGCAGCCCTGCCTACACCTAGCTCTGGGCTGTGGCCTCTCCCCACCATGGTCCTTCTGCAGCAGCCAGGCACTGAGGACCTCTGGGGTCTGCTACAGGCTGCCTGTGCCTTCTCCACAGACTTGAACTCAGGACAATGAAAGGATAGCACCTCACATGAAAGCCACAAGAGTTGCTGCACAGAAGAGTGCTTTGAGAGTCTGAGATGACTGTTCTAAGGCTGATCTGACCACACACTGGAAGCCAGCTGGAGGAGCTGCTCTGCAGACAGACCCTTGGCCCATCAGGAGGAGCTCCAGCCAGGGTCGGCTCCCCATTCTCTTTGTTTATTCTTTAATTTTTTTTTTTTTAAGTTTTGGCTAGTTTTTTAAAAAGTATATATGCACTTGCCAGGTAGAGAGGGGGGTGGAGTAAAAAATCATCCCTCCATGGAGGTGGCCCCACCACAACCCTTTCTCATCTCCTGCCAGGATTTTGAGCACAGCTGCACACGCACTCAGCATGATTTTCAAGCTGCCACATCTGGTACTCAAAAACACAGCCAGCCATATGTGATCCAGGACCCTAACCTCCATGTCACCTGCTGGTCCCTATTCAGTTCTTTTGATAGTTCCCACCCTTTCCACTTATTAAGATGTTCCCCTTTACCTTTGAACATGCTAGAGTCATTTTAAAGTCTCTAGGACATCATGGGCACTTGCTTTTAACTAGTTTTTCCTCAACTATGAGCTGTACATGGCTGCCTCTTTGCCTGGAGATTTTCTCTTTATTCTTTTTTTTTTTTAAATTTAGCAGAGTTTAGCTGAGCAGAGTGATGAGCAAATGGAGCAGCCACAGAACGATTTCCTAGGAACGCTGTGTGTAACACAGCTGTGCTCCATCTGAGAGTCTGGCACACACCAGACCCCGGGAGGCCACCGTGTACTCCTAGGCTCTGCTCTGTGTTCTCTGCACTTCCATCACAGGTACCATCACAGAGCACACGCCAGGCAGACAGCGTGGAGTCTCCCCAGCTGCGTCTTCCTCCATCCTTCGTTGAGGCTGGGCCTCGGCTGCGTAGGAGGGCCTAGGACCATTATTTCAGCTGGATGCTTCTGTAACCGAGATGTTGATGAGGTCGCTCCACTCCGAGTGGGCAGCACCCAGACCCCACCCTACTTGCTGTCAGCCGCTCCATCCTGTCCCAGCCAACAGTAACACAGCATGTGCACCCAAGGGTCCCACCCGTACAGACCTGAGACCCACCCATAAGCCACACATCTCCCTGTTCCCTGACACTTCAACCATAGATTTGGCCACTTCCACTGCCATGGCCTGTGGTCTCTGGTGCAAGGGAAGGTGGGACCACTGTGTTCTGCTTGGCTTTTGGGCCATGGCAGGGACTGTGTCTCAGGCACAGAATAAGGCTGGTCACAGTGGCCCTTCTCTCAAGGGCTGCAGTCCTCTGTTACCCACTGGCTGAGACCCGAGAACGGCTGTGGCATAAGGCTGGTCAGACACAGCTGCTTCACAGCCACAGCAGAGGTTAGCCACAAGGCTAACATGAAGACTTGAGGAGGGAACGGCATCAACTCCGACCTGCCTTTCTAACTGCTACCGGCCACCAGTTTACGAGGGCAAACAACATGACAGACACAATGCTAAAGGCACCGGGTTTGTCTCACCCAGCGGGAACATACCCTTCTCTTATAGCCATGCATGCTTAGAAATTCCTGTCCTACATCCCCAAGATTGTAACTGATCTGACTTATGCCAACAATTAGGGTAAAACAGACTCCCATTACTACACATGCTTGGAAGAGTCAAATGTGTCCCTGGCCTCCTGGGCTTTTAGCAGGATCCTCCTGAAGTCGGCAAGTTCACGTCATCCTGAACCAGCCCAAACCCTACAGTAGCATCCATGGGACCCACTCCTCCTCCCGCTCCTGCTCTTCGACCCTAGGGTTTCCTGACACTACCCGAGGAGGGCCAGAGGCAGAGGAGCAGTACACACCTGTGATGGGCACGTAGCCAACGCCTTGCTGGTACACAGTTGGCATCAGGACCACAGGCTGTGGCGGCATCACCATGGCAGCTGGCAGTGACTGAAACACAGCAAAGACGATCCCAGGGTCACGGGAGAATACACTGCACATTGAAATCTTGGGACATCCAGTCTCACTGTACCTGTGCTGGTCTTGAGCCCAGACCAGAGGCCTGAGGGCACAAAGTCCAGCACAGGTGTGAGCATGTGACCACGGTGTCCTGAACACACTCACACCCCAACACCACTCTGCACAGCTGGGAGGTGAGCAGTCAGTACCTCAGGTTAAAAGATGTTGTAAAACGCAGAACCATGGCTAACTAAAGTGTCACTGAAGGACAACCTGGTTTAAGAAAGTATTATACATTCAAGTATAAACTCTGGGGTCTGTTTCATAAGAGTTATCATAACACCACCTTATTTCATGATGATGTAAAATTTCAGTTCAAAAAAATGTTTTTTAAGAGAGATTTTTGCAACAGGACATGTAGGCTCAATGGAGAGACAGACAGACAGACAGACAGACAGACAGACAGACACACACACACACACACACACACACACACACACACACACACACAGAGAGAGAGAGAGAAACAGAAAGTTAAGAAATCACCTTCTGGGGACCAGCAGTTAGCGTAATGGCTATGTCATTGGACTCCCATGTAGTTGACCATGGTTCGAGTCCCGGACCCGGCGGCTTAAAACTCACGCTGGGCATATGTGCGTGCATGCCCAAGATCCCAAGAGGAGAATGGAGGAGAAGGGATTGTGGCATGGCCATCCCCTCTTGGGGGTGATTTCTCGCTTTCTGTCTCTCTGTCTGGCGAACGCATGCGCCCTATGGCCAAAAAAAAACCTCTCCAAAAAAAAAAGAAATCACCTTCTAGGGAGGATGGCCATGCCACAATTACTCCTCTTCCACTCTTCTCTTGGGGTTTTGGGCATGCATGCTCATGCACCAGGCTTGAGTTTTAAGTCACTGGGTCTGGGACTTGAATTGCAGTCAACTATGTGGGAGCCCAGCAGCATAAAGCATAACCATTTCACCATCTGCTGGTCTCCCTCAATATTTAAAAATTATTTATTCATTTATTTATTATTATTATTACTTTTCAAGTTTGCTATAGAACACATGTACTCACTAAAGAGACAGAGAGAGATAAAGAGAGAGAAAGTGAGAAAGCAAGTCGCCAAGTCCAGGACTCAAACCATGGTTGGCTCGTGAGAGTCCAGTGCCTTATCCACCTTATCCACATGCTAGTCCCAATTCAAAAAAATTTTAGGTGCAGACAAATCTTTTAATTATCATAAAGATTTTGAATTTATATAAAAATGCCTGTTGAAGACATGGAATGAAATATTATAAGCAATCTTACTGGTATCAGGGACTTTCCATAAAATATTCCACTATGAAAACAAGGAAAAGAGGATGCGGGAGGTAATCATGGCTGAGCTGGGTCATCCTTCCCTCCATGCTGGGCTTGCTATACTCTCTTTCTACTTTGATATATGCTTGCAATTTCTTACAGTAAAAACTTTAGATAATAATAATAAAGCCCCGGGTGATATAAGGGGGATGACAGGAATCCAGAATCCTAAGTCCCCTAATCCTGCCCCCACTGTGGCCTTGACTAGGGTATTCGAGGGTGGAGATGATGTGAGGTGCTGGCCCCCAGGTCCACAGGCCCAGGTCTCTGCACTGCAACCAAGAGAGTAGCGTCCCCTCCCTGAGCAGCCCGAGATGCCTCAGCACTTCATGGCCAGAAACTGCCTTGTAGGAAGAGCTCGCCTCAACAGGAGCAGGGCCAGCCCCGCATGTCTCAAACCTCAGGAAATGGCTGGGTCCCTTCCCTGGTACAGTTCGACACCAAGGGTAGGGAACTACAGGAAGATGGGGACCTCTGAGGACTCAGCCAAAGGGAGACCGCTGTGCAAGGCAGGATCTATCTCTGGCCATGCCCCACAAGTGACACTGCTTCTCCAAACAGAATTCATGGTGGGAGTCACAGGGAAGGGGCTTGACCACATCGAGATTTCTGTGTTCTGTCCTGGCTACGCTGAGCTTAGCTGGTAGAAGGCCTTAGGTCTTTGGGATAAAGGCTTCCCTGGGCAGTGTGGTGAGGCCGCCACTGGCCACCAGGGACTACTGATAAGCCTACGTGTCTGCACGGGGTGGGGGCTCACCGCGTATGACATGATCAGGTTGATCATGCCTTCCTTGTCATCCCCCTGCCTCCCGCTGAGACTGTACCACTTGTCCTCCACCTTGCCCTGCTTCAGGGACTCAGGGATAGTGATGTGGGTCCAGGCGATGCGGTCATCCATGGAAAAGGCTCGCTGAGGAAGACAAGAGGCAGACAACCACTGTGTTATGAGCACAACCTTGTCACAGAAATGAGAGCCTTCCTTTCTCCTGCTGCCCTTCCACTGTGGGTGGACCTCCACTTCCAACCTGCTCTTGTTTGCCTGATGGGCTCTCCCACACCAGTTCCCAGTGTTCCCTGCTAGACAAGACTCCCTCAGGTACCTCAGTGGCCTAATGCAGCACATGCCTTACAGATGGTCTTGGGGGCTCCCCTCCCTGACTGCCCAGAGCCAGGTCTGAGCACAAAAAAGGGTCTGTTGTCTTCGACCTGCCCCAACTCAGGATCACTCACTATTCTTGCTCTAGCCCTGAGGCCAATCCCTGCTCCACTAGCTGCCACCTCTGCCAGCCCAAAGCACAGTGGGCAAGAACGAGGGGGAGGAGGAGGCCTTGCCACCTACCCCCACGTACACCTGTTTTTCACATACTCCTTGTTCTTCCAAAGGGAAAAGGGAGAAGAGAAGGAAAAACCAGAAGGCGGAGGAGAAGAGGGCAAGGGAAAGGCATGGCCTAGCTGCCCCATGTGTCTTCCTAGCCCTAAAGCACCCCTACCTCCCTGCGGCCCACCAGGCCTCAGCAGGCATGTGGAGCCACAGGACTAAGCTCGGCAAGGGCCTGATCTGAGCCTCCTGACTCTACCAAGAACGCTGCAAGGTATGACCACAGAGGACTGGAGGGCGCTGGAGGGACACTGCTGGGCCACTGTGCCTGGCACTACCTACAGCAATGTTTCTACCCAGCAATAGATGCTGAGTCACCTGGAACCCCACCCATCCATGAGTAGCCTGTCACAGAGGGGGACAATGGGCACAGAGTCTGCGCCACGAGGGACGATGTTTCCCATATGAGGTTGTTAAATGAGCTGAAGTGAGGTCTCATTTTTCCACTGTACACCCGATAAAATGCCTAAAAGCTGGTGGAGCAGCCCAAGGTGGCTGTTATGGAGCGGTCCCTCTGATGGACCAAAATCTGGCCTCAGGGACATGGTTTATGCCTCTCACCTCATCGAAGATCTCGAGATAGAATGAGTCCACACCCGGGGGAACAGTGCAGTGGATGACCTTATTCCAACGTGGGTTCTTGGCACCGTTGTGAGCTGTGGGTGTTTCGTACACCGCATAACCCAGGCGCAGCCGGCAGTATGGGTCCATGCGGGTCATGCCATAATTCTTTGCCAACTTTGCCTGAAATAAAAAAAAAAATGAGGTGCCAACATCAGAGGCAAAGCTAAGCTCACCTAAGCCATCTCCAATCTGAGCTCTTTGATCGGTAGTCTCCTAGACGAGGAGTTACAGCCATTCAAGTTCACTGGACACCAGGAACAGGGAGAAAAGATCCCAGGTCGAATCATCGACTCTGAGATGTGGCTACAGCAGCATGTGACCAGGACACTTGTGAGGATCAATGAGCCCAGCCTTCTCAAAAGTGGCTGATGGGGAACGTAAAAAAAGGAGGATGGCCTAGGACAGACTACAGAGCTGCAGAACATGATGGGGAGTTACTCTCAGGAAGACCTGTACCCCCGCGGGGACGAGAAGATGCCCAGTCAGCCACAGCGGCGGCATGGGGATCCTACTGGAGGTGTCTGTCTTTCTCCCTCTCATAGAATGAATAAACTAACTTAGGAAAAAGAAAGAAAACAAACCAAAGAAGTTCAACACCACTGGCCATCAGAGAAACACAAAACCCCAAAGGGATACTGCAAACCTATTAGATGAGCGATAACGAATAAGACAAAAAAATTGTCCATAGCACACGCCAGTACACACACACACACACACAGAACTGGCACTCTTACAGTGAAGCAAAATGGCACAGCCACTTGGGGAAGCCATATGGCAGCTTCTCAGACACCCCACTTCCAGGCCTACTGCCAATTAAATGAAACCTCACCTTCACACAGATCTAGACACAAACATTCATGGGAACGTTAGCCATAACTGCCCAAGCCTGGAAACAATCCTGGGTTCCCCTACTGGATAGATAAACAAACTGTGATCCAGGCACACAATGGAAGGACTACCGACACAGGCACCCACACAGTCAGTCTCAAGTGCATGATGCCAGCCAACAGCACCAGGCTCGAGCACCCCTGCCTGACTCCATTTACATGAAAATCTAGAAAAGACACTGAACTACGGTACGGATCATGCTTGCCGGGCCCCAGGGGAGGGCTACTGCAGGAAAGGGATAGAAGAAACTTCTCAGGTACTGGTTAAGTCTTCGATCTTGACTAAAGGACATATATATATACTCATCAGAACTCACTAAATGCATACAATTGAGTGCATTTTGATGCATGTAAATCATATCCATTAGACTGATTTCTGAAAACCATCCAAAAAAAATGACAAACCCTGCTGCCTGCACTGCCCTTTCCAGTGCCCACCCTCTGCCTCTCTGCCCAGCCTGCCCACTCAGGTGTACTTCACAGAAGAGTTTCCGCCAGGAAACCAATAACTGCACAACCCAAGCCTGCTTAGCCTCAGTCCTGGACAGACCAGGCCCCCACTCAGCCAGTCCCAGCTTGGAACCTCCAACCCCCCACCCCACCAGGCAGTCGATTCAGGGCCTCATCAGAGCATGGGCCTCTTCCCTGAAGTCTGCAGAGTGTCTCCATCTGCCTCTCTAGAACATCCTCACCCAAACACATGGTGTTTCTTACCCATTATTCCTGTGGAAGTCTGTTCCCTCACACCTGTGTGAAGCCCCTTACTACCCCGGCTGAGGCAACCACCCTGACCTCCCACCCTTACTCAGAGAGCTCAGCACCTTTCGATAGGTCATGTGGTTTATTTTAAACCATTCATACTCAATTCCTCAAACCCTGCCCCCTCTGGCTCTAAGGACAGGGTGTGGGTCTACTTTGTCTACAGCCGTGTCACTACCCCATCCCCACCGGAGCACCATCGGGCAAAGTAGGGATTGTGCCGAGTTATACTTTCTGTGAACAAGAACGCGGCCAGAAAGAGGCAGTGTGCTGGCTTTTGTCAGGCTCTCCAGCTAGCTGGGTTTGTCCCTGCCTGTCCTGTGTCCTGGCCAAGAGCTGTCCTTGCTCTGTTCCCCACTTTCCTGCTCTCCCTTGTTCTAACTTGGTCCTCTGTTTCCCATATTTATCCATGTGGAACTACGGTTTATTCACTTTAATCAAAGTGATGACCAGTTCTTCTCCGTGAAAACTTCTCCCTTCTTGGGTTCTTAGTGCTAATGTATTTCCTGGTGGCTGGATCCAACCTAGAATTACATGGAATCAGGTTTCTGTAGAGAGCTCCTGTAAGGTGCACAATTAGCCTCTAGACAGCTTCAAAGGCCCTTCTGTTGTCTTTGTCATAGATTAGCCAGAGTGACTCTCCAGAAGAGCAAACTTGCTCATCGCTCCTTAGAAACTGTTCCAGACCAGCTTGATTCCCAAAGCTTCCAAGTAATTGTCTTATTTTGTTTTTGTCTAGCAGCTGAGGTTTTGTGTGTGTGTTAAGGGATTTTGCCACAGGGCACGTGTGCTCACTAGAGAGAGACAGAGACAGTGAGGCAAAGTGAGAAATCACCCCCCTGGAGGGACAGTCATGCCAGAGTCTCCTCTTCTCCTTCTCCTCTTGGGACTTTGAGCAGGTATACACATGCACCTGGTATGATTTTCAAGCTGCCAGATCTAAGACTTGAATTGGGGTTGGTCATGTGGGAGACTAGCACCTTAGCCACCAGGCCACCTGTTGGCCCCAGGTTCCATTTAAAAATAAATAAATAAATAAATAAATATCAGGACCTGTTGAGTATTTCTGCTTTGGTTGGGCAGAGCCAACTCTTGGAACTGGCATGAGGCTCTCTGTCCCCACACATCTCCTTGTCCTCACTCTCCAGGAGCCCCATCTTCCATTGCATTTGGCCTGCCCACTATGTCCATAGCTGCCATGTTACTGCTATTAGCTGTCTCTTCCTATTTCTCTCTGCATTGTTGGTGAAATACTCCAAACAGGTCCTTGACATCCAGTGTATAATGCCAAAGTGGCGTAGTGACTGCTTAAGGAAACACCATTCCATATGCATGGCCGAGCACAAGCCTGGGGCAGTCACTGTTCTACTGCAATGGACTCTGCCAGGAACCGTCAGGTACTTCTGCCCTCCCCAGTGACATCCAAAAGACACATGTTAAATACATGGCATGTCACATGGTACGGCCACTTGTTGGGGAGCAACCAGGAGAGCAGAGCAGCTAGAAACAGGATCCTGGGGAGGGACATGGTGGCAGAGGTGGGGAGCAAAAGCCCAAGAGGGAGCTTTCTGGGGGAGGAGGAAAGCTCCCAGGAGATGCCCAGTGGTGAGGCAGTGAAACAGGGCCCCAGCTTGCAAAGGGCTCGGCAGGACAGCATGACAGAAAGACTTGTACAGGGAACACCCACCCTGGCCACACTCCAGGGTTGAATGAAGGTGGGTGGCAGGAGGGTGGCAGCTAGACCTGCTGAAGGTGGAGTCTCAAGCCTATGCTGAGGAAGACATGGAGAGTAAGAGATGGAGAGGAGGCACAGAGTAGCCCAAGGCTCTGGCCTCAGCTCTGAGAGCTGCCCACCTACTGAACTGGGGCAAAGTGGAGCAGGAGACAAGATGGATGTGAGCTCTATCTCAGGCACAGAAGATCTGAAAAGCCTACTGGGCACAGATGGTCTAGGAATCTGAGTGGAGCTGAGTAGCCAGCGTGGCTGAGATTAGCACATCAGGTGTTTATAGGAGCCACTTGCCTTTGGGCAGAGAGAGGGCTGAGGACCAGACCCCATCACTGGGGGCTTAGGAGACATCTGGGAAAGTGGCCAGGAAGGTAAACAGGGACAACACATGCAGCCTCCTGGAAGCCAGGGGAGGTTTACCAAAGGGAAGTGATAAATAGGAACAGAGCTTCTAAGCCTGTTCTAAGCCAAACAAAGAGCCAGGAATGTTTCTCATGATGACTCAGCACCAGAAGATGCCTGAGGGCACATGCAAGAATAGAGGTGGACCAAAGCAGTGGGCACTGCTGGGGGCCACCTCTGAGGCCTGGCCAGCTCTGGCACTCAGCCTGCGTGAGGCTAGAGAGCCCTGAAGTTACTGTGCATTGCCATGAGGTGGTAGCCACGCGGTGGCAGGGACTGCAAAGATGTTTAGAGTCGCTCCCTACAGCCTGACGTGGGAGGACCAAGGAGTGGAGTGCACACAGCACACACCGGGTGGGGATGGGTTTCTTGAGCCAGCAGAGGGAAGCTGCGCTGTTATTCTGCACGGGCACAGAAGAGATGTGCAGTGGGAAAGAAGCCCCACCAACACTGACTGATGTTGCTCAGGGGGTGGGATGCTGTTAAGCACCTTTCGACAGTATTTTACTCACCAGGTTCACAATGATTCTTCTGCCTGCTATATATTTGTGCGTTTTTATAAAACACCATGAGTCACAGGTTTCATTTTCATGGTTTTATAGAATGTTTTGGTTATCCAGATCAGTGTTTAATCTGACAATGTATTTCGGTTTTACCTGAAAGTCCATTAGCAACTGTGGGCTTTTGGAGTCGGAGCTGAGTCTGACCGTGCACTGCCTTTAGAGGAGTGGTGCTGGTGTGGGCTCCAAAGCCAGGCGGAGTTGCTGCTCGGCATGTGCTGCTGTGCCCATGACAGCACCTGCACCACCCTGTCTCCAGGGCCAGGGGAGCCCAGTCCCATGGAGGACGTGCCCGGCATGGTGCAGACTCCACCCATATCCACTACTAGTTATTTTAATTATTTTGGGCAGAACGCTGGGTAATCATCACTACTTTTTACATGTTATCATCTCTCAACATCAGATATATGTTTCAAGAAAAAACTGTAATCAGAAAAAGTCTCAGGTGCCTGAGAGGGAAAGGAAGCATGAAAGCTGAAATCCACAGTATCCCCTATTCCCCACCACCAGCCGACGCCCACCTGCACCACGGTGATATTGAGGCGGCCCACGGTGCCCAGCGCACTGCCATACTGCAGTTGCTGGGCCGCCTGGGCGTCCAGCTGGATCTGCTGCTGCTGCTGCGTGGGTGTGATGCGCAGAAAGTCCTGCGGCAGCTCCCCGAGGTACACCTGCAGTAAGAGAATGGGGACAGTGAGCTAGAGCAGAAACCAAAGTAGCCCAGGGCACTGGCACTCGAGTGTGCCTAGCACCCAGTATGCCCCTACTTTACCCCTTTCTGGCCACACTCTGGCCTGCGCTCAGCCTCGGTTTCTTCACCAGTAACATGAGGGGTCACTGAGACCAAAGGCTCCCCATGTGCGTCCACCACAAGGCCCTCCTGCTTCCCTCGTGCAGGAGCTCCTTCTCACTCACACAGGAGACATCCAAACGTGGACAGAGCCCTCGGCTCAGGAAAGCAGGTGCTCATGCTCCGAGATGCTCGTTAGAGCGTTCTTCCCTTCCTCAGGTCATTTTCTAAACGTCGTGCACACTCCATGTGTGACCTTGTGCCACAACTAAATGCCAGGCCTGTGAACTGCCAGCTAGTCACCTAGTCAAACAACAAGTGAGATAAAACCTGAACCTGGATCTAAAGTGACATGGAAAACCCTCTGCCAGGAATAGTTTGGATTCAAAAATGCCCCAGAAGAAAACAAGTAAATGGATTCAAAGCAAATCCTCGAAGCTCTCAGTATTCTGCTCCGCACTTGGCCCTCTGCCCACCAACCAGCCTGCAGGCCATGGGGCTCAGCTACCCAGGGTACAGGGAGACAGTCCTTAGAGACACTGAGAGACTGGAGGGCCAGAGAAAATACAGCTTGTCAAGAAGAAACAGAAGGAGCTGAAAGCAAGAGTTAGTGGGGACCTCTGGAAGCAGACATGAAGGATTCCGCCCCAGAAATGAGCAAAGGCCCGCCGGAAACAGTTGGAAACAATGTAAACAATGTACACACATGGGAGGACAGAGGAGCCAAGACCTGGAAGTTGCCCTGTCAGAGGGCACACAGCTGGCGAGTCATCCCGCCCTGGTGAGACCGGTTCAACAGCATCAGTGCTACCTCAGTTGTAAGATGTGGTGGCTGCAGGGCCTGAAGGGTCCCAGAATAAGAAATAATGGCTGACGAAGTCCCCAGGGGCGAGAAATGCCCGTGGGAGGGGACAGCCACAGGAACATGCTCAGGCTGCTAGTGGAGAAACGTGCCACCAGTCAGTAAGCCACCACCTCCTACAGGGTGGTCCTGCGGCACTGGAAACCTGTGTCTCACGTATAAACCGGTCAAATCTGTTCCTTGAGAGCTGTCACCAGAGAGTACTGTGAGCACCGAAACGCTCCGTAAAGCTCTGCTGATTCCACTGCGCAGACCAGGTTCCCTCGCCTGCCTGGGCTGTGAATCCCAATGATACGATGCCAGGCAGGGTTCCAGAAGGTTCTGCAGTCTCTTAGGCTCTGGCCCCATTGTGCTCACACTGTCACTGGGGAAGTGTTTCTTGTCAAGGGCTCTGGTGGCTTCATTCCAACGTCCCTGGGAGGGTCTTGTACCCTTCCCTATCTCCCCATTTTAGGCCTGGAGAACATAAATACCAGTCAGAACTCTAGAACCAATAAGAATAATCAGAAAGGAGAAGCCGCCGGCATAGACAGCGGGTTGAGTGGTTACAAATTCAGGATCCTGTGGCCAGGGGACTCCTCCATGGGCTGCACCCACACCTAAGCAGCCAGCCTGGGGCACGTACTGCTGCTCTTCCAGAACAAGCAAAACACTTCTCCTGGCCTCTACGAAGTCCCCAGGGGCGAGAAATGCCCGTGGGAGGGGACAGCCACAGGAACATGCTCAGGCTGCTAGTGGAGAAACGTGCCACCAGTCAGTAAGCCACCACCTCCTACAGGGTGGTCCTGCGGCACTGGAAACCTGTGTCTCACGTATAAACCGGTCAAATCTGTTCCTTGAGAGCTGTCACCAGAGAGTACTGTGAGCACCGAAACGCTCCGTAAAGCTCTGCTGATTCCACTGCGCAGACCAGGTTCCCTCGCCTGCCTGGGCTGTGAATCCCAATGATACGATGCCAGGCAGGGTTCCAGAAGGTTCTGCAGTCTCTTAGGCTCTGGCCCCATTGTGCTCACACTGTCACTGGGGAAGTGTTTCTTGTCAAGGGCTCTGGTGGCTTCATTCCAACGTCCCTGGGAGGGTCTTGTACCCTTCCCTATCTCCCCATTTTAGGCCTGGAGAACATAAATACCAGTCAGAACTCTAGAACCAATAAGAATAATCAGAAAGGAGAAGCCGCCGGCATAGACAGCGGGTTGAGTGGTTACAAATTCAGGATCCTGTGGCCAGGGGACTCCTCCATGGGCTGCACCCACACCTAAGCAGCCAGCCTGGGGCACGTACTGCTGCTCTTCCAGAACAAGCAAAACACTTCTCCTGGCCTCTTGTCACACTTCACCCCATGTCCAGTGGGGGCAGGCCTCTGGGCGGACAACAGCACGCCTCTCCTACACTGGCCAGGCCAGACCAGGCCAAGGGCACCTCCCCCAGCCCTATTTACAGACTGACCTGGAGCAGAAGTTCCAGCCAGTGAGGAGCAGGGGCCTGTGGGGCCAGTGGTTGCCATGAGAAGAGCTGGGGCTCCCACAGAGGCTCCTAGGCTGCCTCCCCTGGGGCAGCATCTAAGGAGGCGCACGGCCCAGCTACCAGCATGTTCTGGGAAGCACCTGAGGAAAGTGCCCCATGGGAGGGGATGCCAGTGTCTGCTCTTGTTAGCATATGGAGAACACCAGAGTAAAGAAAACCAGGTTCCTTCGCCTGCCTCCCAGAGGGACACAGCCCAGAAATCCTCCCAGGTAGCTCCTGCCCCATGAGAAACACTTCCTTGCCAACTGTGTACCTCACCCCACCCCTGGCCTGAGCCTCTGGGCTCACAGCCAGCCTCGCCAGCTCACCACAAGCAGGTCGCTCAGCACGGCGGGTTGCTTTGCAGAGCATCCTCATGCTACCCAGGCTCCTGGGACTTACAGCGACACATCAACCCCCCACTCAGTATCTGCCTACCTGGCGCAGCACAAGATAGCTCTAAGGATGCAGCAGAGCACGC